TCTTAATATTTCTGCTCAAAATACGCTCACACTGCATTTTTGTTTACATATCTGGATAGAGCCACTATTTTCACCAATAACTGTTTAGTTTCAAGTTTTCTGAATGACTCTTTCTTGGTGAAAACCTGCAAACTATCAACTAGACTGACCTTGACCAACCTTCAGTTTTGGGCATTCGACTCCACGAAATGTTTACTTTTTCTAACTTTAGATCCCATATTCGTGATCAGCACAAAATTCTGAGTCAGAAAAGGTGTGTTTCGAAAATTTTAGAGGAAAAAATGTTTTTCGATGTTCCAATATGGGACCTTTGCCCTTAAATTTTTCGATAAAAATCAAAATGCGATTTTTGGAAAAGTGAGACGGCTAAAATACTCAGAAGTTTACGCTGATTCCGAATATGTAACCTTCATTGAGTTTTATTGGGGTGCTCGACACTCGCTTATCCTTCCCCATCCTTTGTGAGGAACATAAGCAAAAAGAGAGCATTGCGAAAATCTGATTGGTCTGTCTGGTCATTATAAATATGCCTACTTGAGATCATCATTCTCAAACTCATGAACAGACAGCGCTCTGAGTTGAAAAAGTTCCATGCACTATATGAATTCAATTTTTTCTGCGAAAGTTTCAACATCTCCGGATGTACAAATGGTCGAGGGAGCTGTTTATCTCAAGCCTCTATTGGCTGATGAAGGTGCCACCGTATGCAACGATCGGGATATTTAGCCAAATTGAAAGTATGTTTTTTTTAGATTAAGACACTGGATAATATACTTCGATATATGGGCTATCCAAGGCCGAAACAATTTTAGTTCTAACTATAAAGAAAAACACGTGGCTGAAACGGTTGCAAAAAGAGGACACTGATTGAAAAAAAAGCTTTTCTATACGATCCAACGAAATTATAATTAAAAATCATTCAGAAACCTGAGTCTAGACGCGTTTTACTATTTAGTAAGGTTAAGGAAATTAAAAAGTCCAGCGCGTTTCCTTTTTTCTACTTTTATACATGGTTTGATGGACCCTGTCGAGCTGCATCCGAATATGTGTTTTAACGTTCCGGAAAATCTTTTAGAGTGAAAAATTTGAAAAAAGTCAAAAATTTCAATTTTCAGTTTCCGTTCACGCCAAAAACATAAAGTCTTTATAGATTTGGGTTGAAGTCAATCTTTTTATGTGATTATGCTCGTCATCATATCACAAAAACAGTTCTGTATCCTTTTCAAGGTTCCTTTTCGTTCCTCAGATGATACATTTTTGGTGAAACCTGTGCATTTTGCTTCGATTGAGGCAGCTCATTTCGCAATAAATTCCTCAATTTTCAATTCAATGAAAATTTGGATTTCTAGGTAGAAAACATTGTAGATCTCCGCAAGGTTTCCGGAGAATTTCTGGAAAACCAGACTTCCAAAAAAACCTTTGAAATTTTCTTCTACTCAAGGCCCTTCCAATACGATCTACAGCGGTAGAAAACCAATTTTACACTCAGTTCAACTATTTCTAAGGTTCTGGGATGATCTGTTCTAGCGCGGCTATCTCTAAAACCGCCTTTCTGGACTCAGATTTATTCGATTTGTGAATAAATGCTTCGAATCAAAAGAAAAAAAGCTCCAAGATTTTGGAACGAAACAGTCTCGAGTTAGCTTTTGAGCTGTCTGATTTTTCCGTGACAAATTACGTAAATCACTTCTATGTAATCAGTTTGCGGCAAATGCAAATTCTGCACAATATTAGAGCATCAGTTGCACTCAGCTGCAGCAACACCGCTGCATTACTTTATGTTAGTACAATTACGGCAACATGACAAACATCGATCTACTAAAATAGACAACAGCTAGACTAACCTATTATTGCTACATACAGTGTTAGCTGATCTAGATTAGGGCATGGCCAGTCGCTGTCATCGTCACACAACTGGTGATTAAATGTTAATAAATAATTGGTTATAAGATACCTTATGATAACAGATATAATGGTAATCGATAATTGAGTCATGAATAGAGTACGTGGAGAAATTTTCAGAAAATGTGCAAATTTCAAATTAAGAATTAATGATAATGCTTTTGTTTGCATTTGATAAGCATAAACCATAAATGTCATCAAACTAGCTGCTTTAAAAAAGTCCGCAAATAATACACCACCTAGTATTCTTGCAACAAAAATGGGTAAAATATCAACAGTTGTTGTTGCTTGAACAATACCAATGGGTAATAAACATACAAACGTGAATGGAATAGCTATAAATAAATAATACCATGGCATAAACTCTCCATAATGGCACACTAAAGCTGAAAGAACAAATGAAATGACGAACAATAATATATACCACCATTCGGGTAACTCCTTATATTTTGACATTAATGTGCAATGAATGTCATTTTCACGTTTTTCCAGTGAGGTACGAAAATGATGAAATATTTCTTTGCCATGATACAGTATTGTGTGAACAGCGAGCGCAGCTAATGAGGCAAATATTAAATAACTTGCGGTAGCTGTTGTAGGATCATATAAAACTGGCGGTAGATTCTCGGCATAAGTAGGATCGAAAATATATTGGAGATTAGGGACAAATACGTTTCCATCGGCTGTAAAAAAAGCATACCCACCACTTTGGTCTAACTTTGGATATCCTGCAATGGGTAAATTTTTAAAATTCCATAAATTTGAATAGTAAATAATCGGTATAAAAAACCAAGTAAAAAATAGAAATCCTATAAGAAGATTAATCAGAGCCCAATATGGTACTAGTATCGGTGATCCAATGACTTGTGTAATCGTATTCCAGTCGAATACAAGAGTACCCATACCAAGTCCGTAGTAACCAGTCAATTGAGCGATAATAATATTGTCTGGATTGATCATACAAATGCAACTGAAGGTCATCAGTAAAGGAAATATGTAAGCAGGAAACCAATAATATATTATTTGACCAATGGTTGCTAACAGAAAAAATTTCATACGTGATAAATTTAACCATCGAATACTTGTCGATTGCTCTTTTTCGTGTATAGTACGTAATAGAGAAATTACCGGCAAATTTTGTGGCCAAATCATCGATGAAGGCCAAACGAGAAATCGACGTAATATACCTTCGAAAAAGACTTCACTGAAATACATAATAGCATTTTCTAAGCTATGCATTCTAAAGTGTTTTGAAATCTGTTACTTATAAAAAATTTTGCTGGTGGTTCATTTCGAAGCTCATAGTGAGTCTCTGAGGATTCAGAGTTCAGAGACCCATCCAAGAAAGTAATGGCAGCTGTGATGGATATCTGGTTCGTGATAAGCATAAAAAGTTACTGATAATCAGCTATGTTTAAAGCGAAAGTGAGGGTGACACCCGGAAATGTGTTTTGTTAGATATGAAATTTATTCTCCTTATTCTCAGTCCATTCTAAACTTTCGCTTTATGTTCATATTTCGGTCGCATAGGTCAAAAATGTTCAGTACAGAATAAACTTTGTCGCCTAAGGATGCACATGCCCATGTCTTCAATACCGCCGGTTATCGACTAGATTACCATCGAGTATATTCCCCGCTATACCGCCAGCGGCACTGGAGTTACCGCACGGTCTACCGAACCGCGCGGTATACCGGTCGGTTGTACCAGCGGTATCAGCCGGTATTTTATCAGTGTGAGCAACCAGTACAAGAGTTCGAATCTACTTCTCAGCTTTCTTTTTTCGTTTTTTTGCCGTGCGCATGCACCGCAATGAGGTTCTCGGGCGGAAAAAACTTGACTCAAGTCGAAGTGCAAACTTCTCTATAATCTGAAAAAAAAGCACGGTTTCTTGACTTTTCTGCGTTCGTTATATAGGCTACCAACCGCAAAACAAAAAGATGATTGTGTCGAAACGGTTTACCGACTGTATTCTCTTGTACCGCGATCTGAAAAATACCGCGCGGTAACCGCCAGTAGAAAAAAAAACCGTCGTTAAACTGGTCATTATGCGGAACGATACGGTTAACCAACGGTTATCTATAGACCGGTCGGTAACCGGCGGTATTACGAAAAAAAGTGCAACATGGGTGATGGATGTTACTGTGACAGCAAAGTTTATTTTCTAACCACATGTTTAAAGAGTTCGTTGTTAGATATAATTCATCCGTAAAAGAGGTGTTTCATAATAAGATCTACAAAATTTTTAAAATTCTTATCACAACAAGTGGACTCACAGAAACTTTAACCACACATTATCCATTACCAATACACTCGGCCATCTAATTTGATTTGTGAGGAAAATACAGAATATTATCAATGAACATTGCTTTTTGGCAGTATTATCTGGAAGTGTTTACCGAGTAAATGACAGTTGGAAGGTACACAGCTTTATTCCGCATGAAAAACTGCACCGAGTGCAATATTAAACTCTACGTTAAGAGCGCCCGCTCTCAAAAATAATGATTCTAGGTTGGAAAAACGATTATGAGATTTGTAAAGCGATTTGTAGAGCAAACTTTTCTGATCACAATAAGACCTCGAACAACTCTGTATGACCTTGCGCCAAAAAGTTACAAGCATTTTTCTACAAGTCCTAAAACGGACCGACCGATGCACAGCGTTTTCTCTCAGAACGCACATTTTGTGCAGGTTTCAATAATGGTAAAATATTATATGGTTTCAATAACAGTTCATCGTGAAGAGATTTTCTTCGTTTTAGTCTAAAGAGCAGCGGCTTCTACCTTGGTTGATAGGAGGCGACTTTTCGATTAGACCTTAGTTGTTTAGAAAATCCAAAAGGAGGTTTGGGGTTTTTGAGGTTGTTGGCTTTCTGGATACGAACAAAGGCTTAACAGGAAAATTGGCACCCATGTAGTTAGGTGTCTGGTTTAAAATAAAATAACCCGAACTCTCTAGGTTGAAGTATATTGAAAACTTTTAGGAAAAACTTTTGGGTCCTTTCTGGAGCGTGATTTCTGGAGACTTCTAAATCGTAAGACTTGGAAATAAAAAAAGAATCTTCATCCCCATAACTCATTGTGCCTAAGATTTGTAGAAAGTTTCATCAAAATCCGATGCAGAGATAATTATTGAGAGAGATCCTCACATCCGTTGTTTTTCGCCAGTTTGTGGAGGACACTTCGGAGTATATATCCCAGCAGACCTTTCGACTTACACATCTGTAGTTTTTGATAAGAAAAAATAATTTTGGTATTTTCTCGAGTTTTTTTGCCCTGTTTTTAAAATGCCAATAAAAACTCTAGTTTTTGACATGACTAGTTGATTCTAGCGTAGTTCGATAGAGAACATTAACTTGGAGAGTCACATGGGGTAATTCTGGTCAGAGGTGTAAGCGGTACCGGTATCGGTACGAATATAATGCCGACTGGTATACCAGCATTAGTATGAAGTATACTCAATCGGCCAGTATTGCTGGTATTTTGCGGTATGATACGATTTTTTCGAAAAACATTGTGTAAATTCAGTTCATCTGTGACACATCTCTTCTACTAAAATTTCATTCCAATTACTTAAACTTTGTCGTTTTATATAAACTTCTTAATTTAAAAGACTGAATCGGATTGCTGTTTTCGTTAAAAAAAAGCGTGTGAAAAATCAGCTATACATAATCAAAGTAAAAAGGTTAATGGACCCTTTGATAACATAAAATACAGTTGACAGTAAAGAAAAAACAAGGAAAAAGTATTTGTATTTCGGCAAAATATGATCAAGACAAGTCGATTCCGACCGGTAAAGCGGTCACCGGTATACCGGCCGGTATCGGTACGAAGTTTGTATACCGGTGACCGGTACCGGTGTCGCATTTTTGCTACCGGTTACACCCCTGATTCTAATAATCGCCTAATAGAAAGAATCAGAACTTTTTTAGAACTGAAACTTTTCATGTACATTATAAAATCCTCTTCCTATTGACAGGAAAAAAAATCTAAAAACATTATACCTAACTCTGATTATTTTACTTAGGAGAGAATTGGTGACAACCTGGAAACTCTAATTTTTGTAAAACCTGCTTCTCGGTAGATTGTTAAAATTCTTCTAAAAACAAATATTGCCACGAGATTCAGCATGATCGATTACCCACAGCTCATTCGTTTCCAGGGCTACCACCAGTCACCGGGTGCCAATCCTGAGACCCGTAGGAAATCTAATACAGCTCTCGAACTGCGAAAAACAAGATCTCGCTTAACTCCCATACTAGATTCTATTCGTGACACGACATTACCGCGAATACAAAAAACGACATTACAGTGAACGACGTTACCGCGAAGACTCGTTTATTGGAAAAGAAGAATAAATGAGCCTGGTTTTGTACTTTGTATATCATGTGGAGGGA